CCTCAACTTAAAGGGAGAATTCTCACTCTCCCTTGCCTTATTCTTTCCAGGGCGTGGATTTTCAAGATGATCTCTTTTTGGCTCCCCTTTCCTTAAGTTTTTTTAGAACGTAAAAAGAAAATAAGAGCATAAATAGAATTTAAGTGTAGTTCAATTTGAATTAATTATGAAATCCGAATCAAATCAAATCATTATTTTGTAAATTTTAAAATTTGTTATTTAAAAATAATTAAAAATTTATAATATTATGTTATTTGTTTAAGACTATACGTCAAAATAAAATTAAAAATATACAAATACTATAATATTTGGATCATTTAATGTATTTAATATTGATCCTTATTTTATTATTTAGTAAAAATATTTATTTAATACAATTTTAGTTATCATATTAAATAATTTTTTTCCTCATATATGTAGCTTGTTACTTAAAAAAAAATATTTTGAAATGTTATAAATAATTCATAATTTTTTATTATAAAATTCAGTTTATTAACTTATAATTTTATATAATATCTTTTAAATATTATAACGTATATTTGGAGAGAAAAACATATTTTTAGTAATTAATAGTTTTACAAAATATCAATATTATATATTTATTTAAAAAATATATTTACAAATAAATGAGATTGGATAGTATTATGTATAATTTTTATAAAAAAATCTTACAAAATAATCTATTGTGTATGTTTTTTAATATAAAAGACTTTTTTTAAGTGAAGAAAGTCTCAATTAAATATTATCTTATTTTGACATTTTTTTTTTGAAAAATTGTCTTTATTGAACACTGATATATATATATTCTTAAAATCTTTTAAAATTTAAATCCAATATATCTTCAAGAAAGTGATGAGTTTAGGACGAACTACTTCACAAAGGTCTATCATGCACCACTAATTTTGTCAATTAGATCAATGTAAGACTCTTGGATGCTGGAAGATTAGGCAAAGAGAATAAGAAATAATATTATAATTTAATGAATCCATAACAATAATAATTTGCATTCACTTTAATTCAAAGATTCAAAATTGTTACCACTCTCGAATTCGTCGTAAAAAAATGCATAAAAATAAAGAAAAACAAAATCTTATTGAGATCCTTGAAAGTCTTTTTTGCTAAACAGCTATGTTTTTGAAGTTTTTATTTTAATTTTTATATTTTGTATTCTTTGGGTCCTTTGGCTAGCACAACCCCTTTGCTCGTTTATTGGACAGTGTCTCATTTCCTGCTTACTCATTTAACCTTCACAAATCAAGATAACTCATGCAATTCTCATGTAAAAACTACTGAAACATTTATCGCATGACATCATTTATTATCGGTTCATTTTTCCACAAATGTCCCATGAGCTAATGCAAAAATTATGTAAAGTTAATATAAATATCTACATAGGACGTAGATGTAGTTCGTAGATTTATTACTGTACTTGAAAATAATACATTTTTTTTTCTTGATATGATGAAATCAATTCCCACAATGTAAAATTTGTTTAATAAATAATAAACAACTTAGATGATTTGCATAATGAATGACCAAGGATAAAAGGTAATAAATATTAAAGGTGATAACGTTAAAAAAAAAAATAAACATATTAACTTAAATTTTTTTTTAAATATTTTTTTTATAGTTTTAAATTTGTAAATTTATCGGAAGTATGTGGTGATTCTGAAGAACAAAGAAAAATAGTGATAATGTGATATTTTCTTTGAAGAATGTTAATTGACATTTAATTTACAAGATTAATTAAAAAAATCAATATCAACTTTTAGCAAAAATATAAGTATATGCCCTTTTTTTATATTAAATGTAGGTGACAAAACTAAGTATGATGTTGAAAATAAATTTTATTGGATTGTTTGTGATTTTGAATTGTTTAATATTTTAGAGAAACTCTTAACATGACGAGTGAACTTTTAGTGTGTTTTTGTCAATTTAAATAAGTATTAAAAATTATTTTAACTTTTTAAAAATTTTTTAGAATGATGTCCAAAGTGACAAACTTAGATTAGACTTAATACCAAAATTTAGGTGAACTAATTAAGTTTAATCAAGTTGAAATAGGATATGCTGTGAGTTTAGAATTTATTATGATTTAGAAATTTTGGTGTAAATTGTTAGTGCAATGATTATTAAAAAATATAAAAGTTAACTAATGAAATTAAAAGTATAAAAAGATTGATAGAAGTATCTATAATTTATATATAATTGTTGATTTTGAGCGAATAAATCTTAATTGTTAGTATGAGATAATATCATTACATAATATTATAAGAATGAATTATGTGATATTTTCTTTTTAAAAAATACTATTATTTATGATATGAAATATGAAGGACTATGTAAACTGTTGCCAATATTTGAGGATTTTTATTTGCTTATATGAAAGTATGATAAAGTATGATATGTACCACATCAAAAGTTTCAAATAATACATAACTATCAACATCTAAATTGTTTCTCATATTTATGTTTAGTAAATTAGATATTTGAGATAGAGTTAAGAAAATATGATTATTAAAATTAGAAATCAAATTATAATATTTATTGTTCGCAAGATTTTGAAATTAAGTTGGATAAATAAAACTAAAGATGTGTATTTACTTAATATATATATATATATATATATATATATAATGTAACTAATTTGATAAAAACA